GTGTGTGTGTGTGTGTGTGTGTGTGTGTGTGTGTGTGTGTGTGTGTGTGTGAAATGCCTACTGATAACTTGTAGTGCTGATTATTTGCAGCCACAGAAAACAGCAGAGTGTGTGAGAGGCTCCTCTGTGTCAGCTTAAGGCCCAGTCAGGGTGTCTGGCTCAAACACACCTCTGTGGCTTGGTTGAGGGAAATGGATAGTGCTGCTTAAGTGGGGTCTATCTCACCTACTACACTGTCTTAGTCTAATGGAGTCCACTGCGTGTGACTGAGTGTCTGTGTGTGTGTAAGCGCCAAAGGGGCCCTGGAGAGCCTAATCAAGCATTCAGACTAGGCGGCCCTGTCAATACAGCATGGCGCCTCCAGTTTGTTGGGTCTGAAGATCACCTACTGTCTCTCTTTGCCACTTGGCCAGGCACACTAACAGTGTCTGCTGCCTGTGTACATTTGAGTGTGTGTAAAACGCAAGACTTGCCATCAATTATTAAGCGAGGCGTTTGGGCCCTAATTGATCAACACTAATGTGTTTTCTAATCACTGCAGTTGAGGAGTTCCTCGTGGTAGTCCAAACAGGGGCTATTGATTTACTGGTGGGATTGTGCGGGTGGATCATGTCTGAGGATTGACAAAAACACATACATACACAAATACACACACAGCCTGATGTCGCCATCTAAACAAATTACAGTTTAATTTATGTGAAAGGTCTTTCTCAATCAATTGCACAGAAGCCATTGGCAGCAGGCCTGATGTGACACACAGACTTCCTGTAAGGAAAAATAATGCTCAGCTGCTCCGAGTTCTTCTGCTCCCTCTTTAATCTTTCTTACAAACAAAAGCCATTATACTTTAATACTATCCCACCCCCCCTTACCTCCACCCCTTCCCGTGTCTCTGGACATCAGCACTAAGAGCCGGCGTGTCGCGCCACAAGCCAGAATGAGATACCTTGTCATCTATATTGAGATATATGGTCCTAAATGAGGAGAGGGTGCATGTGCAGACTGCCTGTCTTCATATCAATACCCCAGCCACTGTCCACTCTGGATGATGCTCTTAACCTCCAGGGGACACAGCGTTTTTTTTTTTTTCAAATTTTGTTTTTTATGTATCTGTATCTTCTCTAATCAGATTTCCTACACACATACTTATTTTTATTTATTTMTTTTTATAAATGAGTCCTTCTTGTAGGACTAAATGGAGACTGTACAACCTAAAACCACGTGAGAAGCTAGTTAATCCACAAACAACTCATGCAGGAGTGAATTTCACCTGAGTTTAGAGGTGGAGGGGGTGGGTTGTGAGGACCACTGAGCGGACCGAGTTGAACAAATGTGACCAAAAATGAGGATTAATCAAATTTGGTCAAAATGATCAACTTGCATTTTCAGATTCCTGCTTTAAAAGCTACATTTTGATACCTGGATCATTCTGATATCATAAGCTTTTCCAGAGATATGACTTAATTTGTCTTGTTGGTTATGATAATACATTACTTTTTGGTCCAAATCCTAATTTTATGTACATTTAACGAGTAATTTTTGATGTAAACATAAAGAGGAAACCTAAAATATTATTTGTATATTAAGATTTCCCAGTTGGAAAG